TCAGAAGGAAGATGGGGCAATCTACTTCCGTAGTGATAATCTACTTCCATAGTGATACTGCCTCTAAAACCCAAGGAGGGGTCGCTATGAGTCAGGTCCGACTCGACGGCACATAACAACAACAACATCTATGGACAGTTGATCTTTCACAAAGGACCAAAACTCATTAAATGGGGAAGAGACAGCCTCTTTAACAAATGGAGCTGGCAAAATTGGATATCCACTTGCAGAAAAATGAAACAAGACCCATACCTCACCCCATACACCAAAAGAAACTCAAGTTGGATCAAAGACTTAAATGTAAAACCTAAAACTATAAAGCTCACCAAAGATAAAACAGGGGCAAATCTAGGGGCCCTAATTTACAACATAAACAGACTATCAAGCATAACCTGAAATGCACAGGAGGTTGAAGACAAGCTAGATAACTGGGACCTTTTAAAAATTAAATTCTTACGTGCATCGAAAGACTTCTCCAAAAGGGTAAGAAAGAACCTATAGATTGGGAGAAAGTATTTGCCTATGCCATATCTGACAAAGGACTTATCTCCAAAATTTGTAGAAAACTTCAACACCTGAATGCCAAAAAGACAAACAATCCAATTCAAAAATTGGCAAGGGACATGAACAGACACTTCACTAAAGACGATATGCTGGTGGCCAACAAACACATGAGGAATTGCTCACAATCATTAGCCATTAGAAAGATGCAAATCAAAACAATGATGATGTATCATCTCACCCCAGCAATAATAGCAGAGTTCAACAGGACAGAAAATAACAACTGCTGATGAGGTTGCAGAGAGATTGGAATACTCATTCACTGCTGGTGGGGCTGCAAAATGTAAAACCATTGTGGAAAATAGAAATACCATTAGATAGAAGTAGAAATAGAAAACTGAAAATAGAAATACCATTTGAGCTAGCAATTCTATTACTAGGAATATATCCTAAAGAGGTGAGAGACAGGACACAAACAGATATATGTACACCCATGTTCACTGTAACACAATTCACTATAGCAAAGAGATGGAAACAATCTAAATGCCCATGATGAGATGAATGGATAATGAAATTATGGTACATTCACACAATGGAATACTATGTTACATTATAGAATAATGAAGAATATGTGAATCATCTCACAACGTGGACGAATCTGGAGGACATTATGCTGAGGGAAATAAGTCAATTGCAGAAGGACAAATATTGTATTTGTCCTTTACTGTAAAGAGTCAAGGAAGGTTTGCTTAGGGAAGGGAACTTTGTAGGTTACTGGGGATGGGAGGGAAGGAAGGGGAAATTTTCAGAGTAGTTGGGGGCCACATGCTGAGTTGGGTAAGGGGACAGATGGTATGGAAAGAGTCTGTGACCATCATGAAAGGGAGGACACAGAATTGTGCACTTAAGATATAGGTGACAGAGGTTAATACAAGTACATCTATAATACTGCATTACTATTAGCACCAAACACCAGGCTACAGATAAACACACAGACAACTGATAAGATCAAATAGGGGTCGGTAAACAGGAATATACTCTAGACCAATGATGGATTCAGCTGTTGCACAGATACTAGTGATACAAAATAACCACAATCATTACAGAAGCAACAGAAGACAGACTTGGAGCAATCCCTCAGAGACAGCCAGAGACCTTGGGAGGGAGAACCACTGGATCTACCTCTTAGGACCATAATATTGGGGAACATCAGGCTCAATTGGCACAATGTAATATATAAAAATCTTGTTCCACAACCTACTTTGGTGAGTAGCAACTGAGGTCTTAAAAGCTTTGGCAGGCCATCTAAGATGCAGCTAATGGTCTCCTTTCATCTGAAGTGAAGAAGAGTGTAGAAAACCAAGGACATTTGGAAACAATTAGCTCTAGGATATGATGGTCCTCTAGACCAGAAGAACCAGATGGTGCCTGGCTACCAATGTCAACCACTTGGGAAGGGATCATAACTGGAGATCCTGATAGAGTGGGAGGAAAAACGTGGAACAAAATCCAAAAACACAATAATGACCAGAATTACTGGTCAGATGGAATCTGGTGGTACCTACAAGACTATGGCCCTGGGATACACTTTGGGCCTGGGATAAAACTCACTCCCAAGGGCTGGCTTTCAGCCCAACAGTAGTAAGACTTACATGCAGAACACCCAACTCAGGGTGATACACTCACCTACTCTATGGAGATACAGTCCTTGGAGCAATCGACCATGGGGCACCAGAGGGGCAACATTCACACGGAGGAAAAGCTGGACAGACAGGAGTGCATAACTGAGAAGGACACAGGGATGGGGGAGGGTCCCTGGGAAGGGAGAGGAGGAGAGTGGGTTAGGGTTAGGGATGGTAATTGGGGAGTTGAACCAAATGTATACGAACTGTTGAATGTAAAACAAATTCTGCTCTGTAAATTTGCACCCAACCCACCAAAAAAAAAAAAAAAAAAAAGGCCCAAACCAGTTCATTTCAGCTCACTAATGCCTAGGATATAGATCTTTATGCATTCCATTTCATTTTTTTATAACAACCAATTTTCCTAAATTCAATATATTCCATGTTCTGATTGGGAGCTCTAGTGGCATAGTGTCTAAGGCATTTGACTGCAGAAGGCTGGTGGTTCAAACCCAGCCACTCCTCGGAAAGAAGGTTGGGCAATCTACTTCCCTAGTGCTATCACCTCGGAAACCCAAGGAGGGGTCACTATGAGTTGGATCTGACTCCATGGCAATAAGTGTTTGCATATGTTCTGATTATTAATGGATATTTGCAGCTGTTTTGTCCCATTTTGAGTCATGTCACATCAGCACATGGAGGTCCCGAAAGTTTTATTTCATCCACGTCATTAAGGTCAACTCTACTTTGAGAAGGCAGCTCCTCCCTAGTTGTATTTTGAGGGACTTCTAACCTGAGGAGAGCCCTGGTGGCATAGTGCCTCAGGTATCTGACTGCTAATCAGAAGGCTGGTGGTTCAAACCGATCAGCCACTCCTTGGAAGGAAGACTGGGCAATCTACTTCCGTAGAGACACTGCCTCAGAAATCCAAGGAAGGGTCTGCATGAGTTGGAACCGACTTGATGGCAGTGAGTTTGTTTTTTGGCTTTTTGGTCCGACCTGAGGGGCTCATCTTCAGACACTATATTGGACAGGGCTGTTAATAAAGTTTTCCAGTAATGGATCAGACAGTGTTTCGTTGCTATTTATAAGGTTTTCACTGGCCAATTCTTTGAGAAGTGGATGGCCCCTTCCTTCTTCCAATTCTGTCTTAGTCTGGAAGCTCTGCCAAAACCTGTCCACCATGGCTGACACTGCAGGTATTTGAAATACTGGTGGCAGAGCCTCCAGCCTCACAGCAACACACAAGCCACCACAGTCTGACAAACTGACAGAGGAGTGGTGGACAGAGAATCAATTTTAATCATGTAATAATATATGATATAGTTGTAAATCGCTTAAATGTATTATTTCTTAGATTATATGAATATTAACAATAAAACTTTTATAAAATCTTTCTACATTGAATTACATTATCAGTTACAACATTATTAGTAACTGAGCAGAAGCCTTTTTATTTTTCTCCTCCTTTTCCTTTAATTACTGCTTCTTTCTCAGAAAAGTTATTGATATATGTTCACAAATACTAACTGCCACAATATTGTACCTAAAACCTAAAAAAAAAAAAATTAACAAAATCAGCAACTATAAAAACACTGGCAGCAATGAAAACAATAGCACATGCTTGTGCATATGCACACAAAACCACAGGCTTTGAAGCTTCACTGTATTTGAGTAATAATGACAGCTCTGACTAGAGAGCATTAGAAAGGTAAAAAAGTAAATTAGCATAGACCTTTAGTTCTGTAGGTATATTGATGCATATAAACTAAAACCAAACCAAACCAAACTCACTGCCATTGAGTTGATTCCGACCCATAGCGACCCCTCCTTGGGTTTCCAAGGCAGTGTCACTATGGAAGCAGATTGCCCAACCTTCCTTCTGAGGAGTGGCTGGTGGGTTTGAACCGCCAGGCTTCTGGTTAGCAGTCAAATGCCTTAGGCACTATGCCACCAGAGCTCCCACATATAAGCTGGCTTCTGAAAACTGTTTTTGTTACAATAACCAACTACAATGTTTTTATTAAAAAAACAATGTATTTCTGCTGAAACACTGCACAAAACTTTTATGGACAGTTATTTTGGTATTGCTTCCTCTGACATCATCACCCCATGGTGTCTGAACCCCTGAAGCCCCATAGTGATGCCCCTGAGTACAAGCTGCCCATCAGTTCAAAACAGATCTTGGTTCAAAACCCCAGGATTTACTGTAATCTTTAAAATTCTAGCCCAAACTGTAAGATTATATGAAATTGTGAGATGGATATAAAACAATAACCATTCCTATCATGGCCAGAATTTATGAATTCCTTCAATCCTGCACAGTTTTAAACTCATCAATTCGTTACTTACAACCAAATAGCTCTTGTAGACAGGGCATATGCCACGCAGTGCTTTCTATTTTAGCTCATCTTATATAGATGCATTATTTCCTCGCTGGCAGAGGATTTTAAGTTTAGAATCTAGAAGCCCAAACTAACCGAGAAACTTTTGATTTAAATGGGGCCCAGTTATGTCTTGCTATAACTGATGGGTATTTTTTTTTTTTTTTTAACCCAGTAATAGAGGAAACCAAAACAAACAAACAAAACCCAAACTCACTGCTGGTGAATTGGTTCCACATAGTGCCTAGAGCATTTGACTGCTAACCAGATGGCTGGCAGTTGGAACCTACCAGCCACTCCCTGGAAGGAAGACTGGGCAATCTACTTCCATAGAGATACCGCCTCAAAAACCCAAGGCGGGGTCGCTGTGAGTTGGACTCAAAGGCAGTGAGTTTGGTTTTAGTAATAGAGGTAAGCATATGCAAATCCATAACTTCTATCTAGATACTGATATTACTTTAAGTTTTATTTGAAGTCCATGTTAGTTACTCACCTTATTGACTTTCATGAATTTCTGGCAGACATAAGGTATAATTTTATGAAAGACAATCGTTTTCAGGTTCCAGAATGAACACTCCAGATATAAAATCAAGAGGAGATAAAATAAGCCCATGACAGCCAATGCAGTCAAAAACTTTGCAATTCCATGTTTTTCAAAACTATAGATATTCCTTTCAGCAACTAAAGATAACAAAAGTGATAGCCTTGATTTTAAAACCACTGCAATGTCTAAAATGACACTAAATATTAAGAAATATAGATTGGAAATCAACTTAAGATTGAGAGAATTATAGAATACAGAAAATTAACAATTATGTTGATATCTTATTTTTTTCTCTTATTTGACCTTCCTTGATGTTATTCTAAAGGCTATCCTGCCATTGATTTCCCCTCTAGTTTTTGCCAATTTGATAAAAGACAACCTTCTCATATATTGAATGAATTTCAAAGGCTGAGCCTTTGTGAATAGAATGTGTAATATTCAAATAAAACACAGAAAATAAAAGTATTTATAGTCTAACTAGCCATTGTTGTAGGAATACAAAAGAATACTTAAAGTCCTGGAGAGAAAATCTTTTATTCCATATATAGGAAACTGTTCTAACATGGCAGTAAAAATTCTGCTGCTATACAGTTGTCAACTCCTTTTCTTGTTATTGTCACAAATTCCATCTTTATACTTTTTATGCCCATTAGCTTTGCTTACTGATTGTTTTATGAAAAAATATATAAATTATATAGGAAAATTAAGAGAAGTTATAAACCAAAAATACAGTAATATTAGCTTGTATGTCAGGAGCTCTGGTAGCATAGTGTAGGGCACTTGACTGCTAACCAGAAGGCTGGCTGTTCAAACCCACCAGCCACTCCTTGGAAGGAAGGTTGGGCAATCTACTTCTGTAGTGATACTGTCTTGGAAACCCAAGGAGTGGTCGCTATGAGTCGGGGCTGACTCGATAGCACAGAACAACAACAACAACAGCTTGTATGTTTACTATGTAATTATTTTAATCAGTGTTCTTTATTTCTTCATAGGGCTTTGAGTTATTGTCTAGCATCCTTTCACTTCAGCCTGAAGGACTCCACTTAACATTTCCTATGAGCTAGGTATACTAGTGATGAACTCCCTCAGCTTTTGTTTATCTGGGAATGTCTTTATTTCTCCTTCACTTTTGAAGGATAGTTTTACCAGATATAAAATTATGGGTTGATTGCATTCTTCTTTAGTACTTTAAATATGTCACCCCAATGACTTCTGGCCTCATGATTTCCTACAAGAAGTTGTTAATATTATTGAAGATCCCTTGTATGTAAGGGAGTAACTTTTCTCCTGTTCTTTTCCCAAGAATCTCTTTTTGTCTTTGTCTTTTGACAGTTTAATTATAATTTGTCATGGTGTGGATCTCTTTGAGTTTATCCTACTTGTTTGTTGAAGTTGTTGATGTCTGTATTCATGTCTTTCAAAAAATTAGAATGTTTTTGACCATTTTTCTTTCATGGTATCTTTTATTTCTTCATTGATGGTTTTCTTTAGCTCTTTCAGCATATTTAAGACTGTTAATTTAAAGTCTTTGTCTAGTAAGTCCCATGTATGTACTTCCTGAGTTTCTGTTAATTTATTTTTCCTGTGAAGTGCCATACTTTCTTCCGTGTCATTTATTATTTTTGTTGAGAACTGAAATTTTTGCAAATCATAATATACTAACTATGGACATCATATTCTTACCCTTCTCCAGAGTTGTGTTGTGGTTTGTAATTGTCTAGTGAAAATTTTAATTAGTTTTCGTAGACTATGTTTTTTGTCATGTGTGATCACTTAAGTTCCTTTCTTTAGTTTTTGCCAGCTAATGATTTGACACAGATATCAAAATCCATAGCAAAAAAAAAAAAAGAAAAAAGAAAAACAATTTTCCTGGACTTTTGAGGTTAGCTCTATGTTAGGGTACTCCTTCAATGTTTAGCCAGACTATTTACAACTCTGCCTTTGCTTTCACTTCCTGCTTATGTGGAGCCTGATGATAAGCAACAAGCAAAATACTAAGGTTTTCTCAGGTCATTTCTGAGCATTCACTTAGTCTTGGATATGTGTGTGGCCTTCTGGGTTCCCCAGTATGTCTGAAAGCTTTTAAAATTGCTTATTGCTTCATGTATCTCTTTCCCTAACCTAGGCATTTTGGATTTTCTGCTGTTTGCCTTGTCTTCGGTCTATTGCTTTCGGTGGGTGAAGTTTGTATATCATCTTAAATTCTTTAAACTAACTTCCCCAAGGAATCATTGCAGTCATGAGAGAATTCTGAGTAGGCAAAACAAATGCAATCCCTGAGCTGACTCCTCAGTCACCAGATGGATGGAAATACACAACCACAATTCTTCAAGAACATTGCCTGTGTTACTCCCTCTGGCATCAGCAAACTATACCAGGAACACTGTCTCCACAGCCACCTCCAATGATCTAGGAAATGGGGTAAAGTAGGTGGGTAAATTAAAACATCACAATGCTTTTTTTCCCCCAAAATTAAGCAGCTTCTTTCTTCATTAAACACTTCCTCGATTGTTAGAAGCTTTTGTTTGTTTTGTTAGTAAAATAGTAAGAGATGACCAAAATAGTTGATTCTAACAGTTTTCTACAACTTAATCCTTGCCTCAATGGATGCACAGATCTTTGGAGTTCCTTACTCTGCTCTCTGCCATTTTTTGTTGTAATTTACTTTATATATTGGTTTATACATTTTCATGAATCAATCTTGTCAAGCTTTCTAAAACAATTCTAAATTCTATTAATTTATTTGTAGTTTTTTTTTTTCATTTTCTAGATAAGTAATCATACAACATGTGTAGTAGTTAAGGTTGTGTGTTAACTTGTCTGGTCCATGATTCTAAGTGGTTTAGCAATTATGATGTAGTTATGTAGTTATCACCTATGATGAAATTTGATATAATGTAATCATCTCCATGATGAAATTTGCTATGAGCAGTAAATCAGTGGAAAGGCAGTTTCCTCTGGGGTATTACTTGCTTCCAGTATATATAAAAAGCTTTGGGAAAAGTCTCTGGCTTTTTGCTCATTTTGTATCCTACATTTGGATCATCATCATCTCTGGTTCCTGCCATGTTGCCTGCCAATCTTGATATTGTTGCCTTCACAACCTGTGAGCCAACAATCTACCACTTTACTTGCCAGTCTTTGATTTGTCTGCCTCCAAAGCAAGCAGCTTGCTGTTCTGCCTGCTGATCTTGAGTTTGTCAGCCTGTGCAGCTGTGTGAGTCAGGAAAAGCCTCCAAGTTGATAGGTGACAGACTTGGGACTTGCAAGCCTCTATAACTGCCTGAACTTGAGAAAAAGTTCTCTCTTTGTCTCTCTCTCTATATGCTTCTCTGGTTTTGCTTCTCTAGATAACCAGTCTAAGACAATATGTAAATATCCTCAAATATTACTTCATCCTTTCCAAATCACACTTAAAATTATTTAAGAATATTAGCTAAATACAAAATATATATGCAACATAACTGAACTCTCAGCCTACAACTCAACCCAATAAATAAAACATTGCCAATTGTTTCCTTCTATGTACTCTTGATTTTAATCCTATCATTCCCATTCAGGAGGATTCTGGTGGTGCAATAATTAAAACATTTGGCTGCTAACTGAAATGTCAGTGGCTTGAACCCACCAGCTGCTCCACAGGAGAAAGATGAGGCAATGTGCTTTCATAAAGATCTAGTCTTGGAAACCCTATGGGCAGTTATACTTTCACGTATAGAGCTGCTAAAGGGTTGCTATTAGTCATAATCAACTCAATGACAGTAGGTTTATTTATATATTTACTTTTTGTGATTTGATTTTACAAAGTAGATTTGTTTTACAGTCATTTTGTGTGTGTGTGTGTGTGTGACACTGATTGCATCTTTCACAGTGTAGCAGCTCTCTTCCCACTTTCTACTTGTGGTTACCCTTTCCCTGTTATCTTTCTTGCCTATGAATTCTTACATCCCTATCTTTCTCTCTGTGCAAATACTATCATTCTGATCTCCAATGGTTGACTATTCTAAGTAGTACATCTCCCTGATGCAGTTGTTTGGCTGCAGGGCTATCATTTGGCTGAAAGTTAAGCCACAGGTGTGAATTCAATTCCAGGCCTTATGGGTAACTTGGGACCATAGTCTCATGGGTTTCACCAGTCCTTATCTGATCAATATCTTAAATTTTGTTCTACTTTTTTTTTTTTTTTTCTCCTACTCTCTTCAGTATCTCAAATTTAGATCCCTTTCCTAGTGGCTGTCATTGGTCGTCAGGCACCATCTAGTTCTTCTGGTTTCAGGGTCATAGAAGCTGAGGGCCTCATGGCCCATTACTCTTTTGGACTGTTTCAATGTGTCTTTGATTTTCTTCAATATTAGTTGCTCTGGATGAGGAGAGACAATAATTGCAGCTTGAGTGGTGTCTCCCAAGCTTTTAAGACCCTAGTAGCTACTCACAGAAGTAAAATGTAGAACAATATTTTTGAGTACTATGCTGTGCCAATTGAACTTGATGTTCTCCTGTGATCATGGTCTTCGATGCACAGGACCAGCAACTCACTATGTCAACATGCTTAGTTGTGGCTAAGAAGTTATCCTAACTTTGCCCCCTGTTAGCTTTATACTGCATATGGACATTTTTATCACTTACAAACACATATGTAGGAAGATCATCTGCAAAACCTATGTATAGTGGTGGGTATATTCTCATTCATCTATCCATATCTGATCTTCTTGCCTGTCCATCTATATATCCATACATTAGTGTTTGCTATTCCTGATAATGCAGTATTGTGTATGCAATAGTGTTTACCTTTATTGTCTGTACCTCTCACGCACCTCATCATGTCTTCCTTTTCCTTGGTGATATTGTTCTAGTAACATGCTTTTGTTACATTGCTTTTCACTTCACCCATATCAACACCTGTCTCTTAACTATCCATTTTCTCTCCCTTCACCACCCCTCCAGACCTAGTAACCAACAAAATTTCTTTCCCTGTGTAAACCTTTCCTTGACTTTTTATAATAATGGACTCATACAACATTTGTCCTTCTGTGACTGATTTCACTCAGCATGATGTCCTTCAAGTTCATCCACATTATGAGATGATTCACTGATTCTTCATTATTCTTTAATGTTACATAGTATTCTGTTGTGTGTA